TTGAAGAAGTACGGTACAATGATGCCACCAGCCCATAAATCACACCAAACTGTGTCTTTTTTGCAATGAATCTGACGAATCTTCACTCCAAAATCGATAACTTTAACATTTTACCGCTTCGTCGGGGAACACAATTTTCTTTCTTGAACTGTCTTAACAGTACACACGTTTTCATAATAATATTTCCATATTGTACAAAACTATATGGGTAATTTGCTAAATATCTGACATTCTTCTTACTAAAAATAAATCCCATTTTCATGATTAAAAGAATACGGAAACCCTGTTAGCAACGAATAATTTGCAATCCGCTTCCTATTCCCTCTGCTAATAATTTTTGCATTATAGCCGTCCCTTTCACACTTATTCAATGTTCTTATATTGTGCTGCGCCTTTGGTTTACCAACAACCGGCTCTTTTTCTGATTAGTCATTTGCCTTTCCTTCTTGTCAGTTTATTTGTCGTTACTTGAATGTTCAGTCATCTTATATTTTGTTGTCGGTTATTTTTGTATAAATGAAGAGAAAATGCGGAAAAATTAATTATAAATTCTTAAGAAGAGAAAATATGTTTCAAACATAATAATCGAGGTTTATAACGAGCAATGATGCGGCAAAAAAATTCAATTTGTCTTCTACTTTTTTAAAGACCACAATGAGCCGACCTTCTCGTGTGTTTGTGCAATTTCGTGTTGTTGTGTTGTGCCTTGTAAAGAGAGAAGTCGTAAATTGTCTATACATATTTTTGTCAAAGATCTGTAGGTGATAAATCAACAATTGTGTCATATAATAACAAAGTTAAATAATTTTTTATTGAAAAAAATGAAGCAAAAGGAAAAGTAATTTCTAATTTTTGCAAACTGCTTCTTTAAGTCTCTCACACTTGCCATCCTTCTCACACTTGTTGCACGTACCCATGCTGCGCTGCGGCTTTGGTTTATTAACAGCAGGGGTGCTCAAAAACAAATATCTCTTTTCAGTCAAATTTCTCTTTTCTTATTTAAATCAAGAACAAAAGTCATTATTTATACAAATATTTTTTATCCATTTGCTTTATAAATTATTTAGGCAAACATTCATGTTAAAAATAATTAAATTGAATCGTAAAATATAAAGAAAATCAGATTTATAATTTTCTCTTAAATTATCTCTTTTTTCTGTTCATGTTCTAGAACACGGTTTTGAGCACCGCTGTTAATAACAGCCAACACTTTTGCGATTGTGCTTCCTCTTGTTCTCATCAGTTTCTATGTCGTGATTTGAAAGCTTGGTCGTTGTGGCATTTGTCGTCAGTTATGTGTATAAAAAGAAAAAATAAGGGCAAAAATGAATTCACATGAAGAGAAAAAAGTGTTCAATTGAAACGAAAACTAACGTGGATTTAATATAATTTGCCTTTACCCTTTTTGAAAGATAACGACGTGCCGAAATTCTCGAGTGTTTGTGCAATTTCGTGTTGTTGTGTTGTGCCTTTTACAAAGAGTAGTGTTAAATTGACAATGCATTTGGAATTCGTTCATATTTTTTTATTAAAGAGATTCAGAGCCTTGTCAACAACGGTGTTAAAAAATAATAAATATTACAATTTTTCTTAAAAAAGGAAGTACAAAAAACTATTTTTTACAATCTGCCACTTTATTTTCCAGCTATTGCTATCCTTTTCGCAGTCGTTGCACGTGCCTTTGTTGTGCTGCGCCTCTGGTTTATTAACAACCGACACTTTTCTGAGTAGTCTTGCTCTTCATCTCATAATTTTATGTGTCGTTACATGAAAGCTCGGTCGTCTTCGAATTTATTGTCGGTTTTTGTGTAAAAAATGGTGAAAATGTGAAAAAATATGTATTAAAAAATCATAATTACAAGAAAATATTTTTAATTATAAATAGTATTGAGTTCATCACAAAATAATGTAGATTTAATGTCATTTTTATCTTCCGCTATTCGTGTGTGTGTGCACAACTGTTGTTGTAGTGCTGCAAATGGCGATGTCAAAATTTGTCAATGTCAACGTTTACTCCAGTCGCAAAATTCGCGCGCTTTTTGGACAAATTCAGTGTAAAATCAACAAAAGAGCCTTTCTTCTGGAAAATCTTTAATGAATTTGTGCCAAATTAACAAAATATAAGAAAAATAGTAAAAAAATATTCCCAATTGTGGTTTTTATTTATCAATATCAATGATTTGTATATGTAATGCCATGTTTACGTTAGAACTTTTTGCAAGGTTAACCTACTTTAAGAGGATTTATTTGAAGTACAAGTAATGGATATGACAATTTTAATCCAAATCCAGTGGGTTAACCCATTTATATGTAAACGTACTGTAAATGTGTGTCCATTGCTGCTGCTGTTTAAAAACTTTTTCCATTTAAAGGAGAAAAAAGGTAAGTCCCCAGTTTATTTTTTTTTTAATTTTATGTGGTACGGAAATACGAAATATGGTTTATACCATTTAAAAAAGGCAATTTTAGGAAATTATGTATTACACCGTTGGGGCTTCGCTACCCCTTTTTCCAGATTTCATTGAAATTGGAGAAATATAATATGTTCCGTGCATCAAATACATGAAAACGGCCGAAAATATATATTCGAGGTATATGCAAATATAAACCGATTTCAATACAATTTTGCAAATTTATTTGTGTTCTAAATTCCGTTACACATTCCAAATTTGTATCTGTAATAGATCAATAGATATGTGCATATAAAATTTTTTAGAGATACTTCCAAATATACAGGGTGAGATGAAAAAACTGCGACCAGCTTCAGACTGCTGTCATTTCTAAGCCACTCGTCCGACAGCTGTTATTCCAGTGACAGCTTATTATAGTTTAAAAGCGTACAAAAGCATTTTAGTGAGAATTCGTGATGGAATTCAAGCGTGATAATGTGGTTTCTTTATATTTGGCTGCCGGTAGCGTAGCCCGACGTCAAGGAAGTGGACGAAAAACAAAAACAGCAACACCAGCAGAAATGGCAAAGAAGCGACTTGATCGAAACCTGCGTCGCAGTGGCCGAAAAGTGGCTCGTGAGCTGAACATATCGCAATATTCCATTTGGCAAATATTGAAAAATAGCCTGGGATTAAGCCATTGAAATTCCATAAGGTGCAAGAACTTACACCGAAACAGAAAGAAAATAGTCTCAAAAGAGCTAAAGAGTTGCTTCCTTTGGCCGAAAGTGGTGAACTGTCGAATTTGCTCGAATTGGTCACCTTTGACACGAACTATGGCCTTCAAACGGCCAAGGAAATCGTCACACGCTGCCCGAAAGTCGCTCTGAGGTATTTTGTCTTATTCCCGGCTAAGCGCTTGTTTGAGGTGATCGACACTTTGGTATTTTTTAGTGAAACCTTGCTTTCCAAAATACTGCATCCACAATAGTCCAACGGATTGGTATTCGGAGATGTTGGTGGCCATTGTGCGCTGGAATTGAAGCGAGATACCTCATTTTGTAAGCATTCTTGAGTGGCGCGTTTTGAGTGCCTTGGTGCTGAGTCCTTTTGGAATGTCTAAGGTCTGCGGCCAAAATGTTTGCGTGTCCAAGGTATTAATATACCCTCCAGAATATTTTCGCGATAATATTCGGCATTTATTCTGATGCCACGGTAGATTAATACGAGCGGAGAGCGACCATCGGCTGTTATGGCGACCCACATCGTCACCATGGTCGGCTCTTGATTTCTGGTGGCTAATCGAAGGTGCACATTTTCAGCCGACCTCTTTGGTAAGTAAACACGATCATTTTGTTTGTTTACAAACGTCTGGACATCGAATGTTTTCTCATCGGAGAAAACCAAATTCGGCAGTTCACCACTATCGGTCAAGTGAAGCAACTCTTTACCTCTTTTGAGGTAATTCATGCTGATGTTGCTGTTTTCTTCCGTCCATTTCCTTGACGTCAGGCTACGCTACACAACAGATCTATTTACATTTAAATGCTGAAGTACTATAACAATAGCCATTTGTGGTTTTCCAGCCAAATATAAAGAAATCACAATATAATATAATAATAAGAATTCTCACCAAAATGCTTTTGTCACTGGAATAGTTTTAACAGCGGTCTGAAGTCGGTTGCAGTTTTTTTTTTTCATCTCAGCCTGTATATTCTGTCTGTTCATCTGTCGGTCTGTTGAAATCAAGACTCTTGCATTATTTAATGTAGGGCTTTGAAATTTGCCACAAATGTTTATATTTACGTTTAGGTATAGCCTCCATATAACGGTACCTCCAGATTTTCGATATTTTTTTAGGTTTCTGACAAATTTCCCTACCAAATTAGATGACACTTGGCAATTGGTGTTCTCGTTAGGTCTTTCCTTGGAAAAAATGTTCGATTCAGGTCCACCAATAGGTACAGCTCAATATAACAATTTCTCCAAATTTTCGGTATTTCTGTCTGTCCATCTTTCGGTTATTGTAAATCTAGAGCTTATTTATCTAGAGCTTTGAAGTTTGACAAAACCGTTTAAATTATATGCAGACTGATAAAATGGGCTATATGGTCCACGTTTAAGTATAGCCTGCATATAAGGGTTCCTTTAGATTTTCGGTATATTAAAGGTTTCTGACATAATTTCTAACCATATTAGATGAAACTCGCGAATCTCTCGTTAGGTATCTCCTTGCAAGGAATGTTCGATTCAGGTCCACTAATAGGTATAGATTTCTGCCACAATTTTCAACCAAATTTAATGATAATATGGGTCTCGCTATTTGGGTTATTTTTATATTTTAATTCAAATGCATTGATATTCGATATTCTACTCTTTTCTTTATATAATTGAACTTTGATAAACTAGTAGATGGAGAGTATAAAAAGTTCGGCCCGGTGCCGTCATTACGCCTTAACCCCCGATATTTTGGTATTCGGGGACTGATAAAGTTCCTTTTCTATAAAAGTCCTCGAAAAAATAAAACCATTCCCTCTACAAATTCATAAAACTCATAAATTTATCGTTTTAACATAAAACATTTATTTATTTTCACTTTATTTCAAACAAAATGATTTTGAAATAAATTAAATTGGTTATTCTACTTAAAGTATAGTTTTAAATAAAATCACAAGAATGGAAGTATGACAATGGCAATGAGACATAAACTTCTACGATAACATAACAAAAATCGAATGTATTTAATCGACTTCGTCTACAGTTGGACCCGCACGGCCACCACCAAATCCTCCTGCCTGTTGACCACATGATGCAGCACTTGGACCACCACCGCCATGCAATTTTGTCATGATGGGCGTACAGATCTTACTGATCTCTTTCATTTTATCCTCATATTCTTCGCGTTCGGCCATAGTATTGGCATCCAGCCATTTGATGGTATCATCACATGCTCGCAAAGTCTCAGCTTTCTCTTGGGCCGAAATCTTGTCTCCGCTGGCCTGATCCAAGGCCTGCTTCACACCAAACACATAGCTTTCCAAATTGTTGCGGGCAGCAATCTTGTTGCGTTGATTTTCATCTTCGGCGGCATATTTCTCGGCCTCATTAACCATTCTGTCGATTTCCGCCTGCGACAGACGTCCTTTGTCATTTTTGATGGTAATATTTTTAGCATTTCCAGAACTCATTTCCTTGGCCGAGACATTGAGAATTCCGTTGGCATCCAAATCGAACGTTACCTCAATTTGGGGTACACCACGTGGAGCTGGTGGTATGCCGGACAAGTCAAAGGTACCCAAGCGGTTGTTATCCTTAGTCATGACACGTTCACCCTCGTACACCTGAATGGTGACCCCGGTCTGATTATCCGAATAGGTGGAGAAGGTTTGCGTCTGTTTGCATGGTATGCGTGAGTTGCGTTCAATAATCTTGGCCATTACACCGCCAGCCGTTTCAATACCCAACGAGAGGGGAGCCACATCCACCAGCAAAACATCTTGTATGGCACTGCTCTTGTCACCACTCAATATGGCTGCCTGGATGGCTGCACCATAGGCCACAGCTTCGTCGGGATTAATGGACAAATTCAATGTCTTGCCACAGAAGAATTGTTGCAACAAATTCTGGACCTTTGGTATGCGTGTAGAACCACCAACCAAGACAATATCATGGATTTGATTCTTATCCATTTTGGCATCGTTGAGAGCCTTTTCCACCGGCTGCAGTGTTTGACGGAATAGATCGGCACATAACTCCTCAAAACGGGCCCGACTTACTTTGGTGTAATAATCAATGCCATCGAATAGGGCATCAATTTCAATGGTGGCCTCAGTGCTTGAAGACAGTGTGCGTTTGGCCCTCTCCGCAGCAGTTCTAAGCCGGCGCAAAGCCCTGGGATTGGAACGTAGATCTTTCTTGTATTTCCTCTTGAATTCATCGGCCAAATGGTTGACCAGACGATTGTCGAAGTCTTCACCACCCAAATGGGTATCACCGGCCGTGGCTCGCACCTCAAACAAGGAGCCCTCATCAATGGTCAGAATCGAGACATCAAAGGTACCACCACCCAAATCGAAAATCAACACATTGCGTTCTCCTTTCAGATTTTTGTCGAGGCCATAAGCCAAGGCGGCAGCTGTGGGCTCGTTAATGATTCTCAGAACATTCAAACCTGCAATGCGCCCAGCATCTTTGGTGGCCTGCCTCTGGGAATCATTGAAATAGGCCGGCACCGTGATCACCGCATCACTTACACTTTGTCCTAGATACGCCTCAGCAGTCTCCTTCATTTTCGTCAACACCATTGAGCTAATCTCCTCGGGAGCAAAACGTTTCTGTTCCCCTTTGAATTCCACACAGATCTTGGGTTTGCCGCAATCGCTCACCACCTTGAAGGGCCAATGTTTAATGTCTTCCATAATTTTTGGGTCATCATATTTGCGGCCAATCAAACGTTTGGCATCGAAGACGGTGTTTCTTGGATTCATGGCTACCTGATTTTTGGCAGCATCACCAATCAAACGCTCCGAATCGGTAAAGGCCACATAGCTGGGTGTGGTGCGATTGCCCTGGTCATTTGCAATGATTTCCACTTTGCCATGTTGGAAGATACCAACGCAGGAGTACGTTGTGCCCAAATCAATACCAACTGCTACCATTTTTATTTTTGTTCTGTGATTTCTCTTTCGAATTCAATGACTAGCCTCTGTATCAGTTTAAATTATTTCCTTGAGGCTTTTGAATACTTCTTCTTTTTTAACTTGTTCTTGTTCCTTGGTAGGACTTCTTTTTCTTTTGAACTAACGATTTGTTGTCTTTTAAAACGGCTTTTTCCGCTTAATATTTTCTTTCGGTTTTATATCGCTTTGTTAACGCTTTGAATTGTACTTTTGTACTAATGCCGCAGAGAACTTTGCGCCGACTATTTATACAAAATCCGACCACCAATCGTATTTTCCAGATACTCTTCGACGAATTTGGCTGAATTTTCGAGATACATTTTGTTGAAAAAAGAGAGAAATACAAGAGTAAGGACATTGGGCGACACTCAATGCATTGGGGTGGGAATGCATGGGAACTGAGAGGCAATTTTAAAATCGCTGCATGAATGTTGTGTGTCTAAGAGTATAGCTACACTAGTGATAAAATATTTAGCACAAATAGCACCCACAGAAGCAGAACTTTAAAAAGTCCTTCTATTTATAAAAGAAGTTGACAAATTCTTTTATAGGAAAAGGTCATTGATCTGAAGCAACAAACTCCAGTACAGACTTCTTGACTCTATCCATCTCTAGAAGAACTCTTCTGTTAATAGAAAATCGAATTAAAACCCGATTTTTTTTTCGATTGACGACCTGTAGATCGTTTTCTATTTATAAAACTCCAGGAAAGCTTTTTCCTCTATAAAGCATCCTATATCGAGGATCCCAATAAATCATCATTAAATGACCTTATGTTAATAACCAGAAAAACCAGGTGTGCCGAACTTTTTTTTACCTTCAAAATACCATTGTGTGGGGGCCATACCTATATTGAATATTTATTCGAGAGAAGTTAATCTACGTACAATCCCGATATATAAAATTTCACCTGAATCTGTTGGAAATCGCGACTGAAAATCAGGAGGTACCGTTGCATGAGGAGTTATACTACCAACAAACCACAAAAAAAAAAAATACCCTCCACCATTTGGCGAGACGAGGACCTGGATACGCAATTTTTTGTCATAGGCTGTAGTACCCATTAGACCCCTCAAAAACGAAGAATCGAGAATCTGAATGAGGCGTAGAGAAGTTAGTAGGTTTGCATCCACGGTGTAATCAGCGTGTTGTCCTTAGCCATTTTAGTCTACTGGCTAACTGAAGAATGACCGCTGGCTCGATGTCGGAGATGGAGGACAAGTCTGGCAGAATTTGCTTACCCAGTAACCTCTATTCCACCCCTATAAGAGTTGGCCAGTGGCAGAGTAAGTGCTCCACCGTCTCAGTTTCCTCCTCGTCCGGACAAAGCCTCCAGTATTCAGTGTCGTCAACACCCCCCCCCCCCTTTTGGATGTCATGGCCTTTATATTGCAGTGTCCTGCAATTAGGCCCACCACAAGCTTCAAGTCCAGCTTCATCATGGATATGAGTGACCTCGATCTCCTTTCGGAGTTCACCGGCCAAATCTTTTTGGAGACATTACATTCCCTTCCAGTTAGTCAGTTCTGTTGAAATCTTCCAAGATAATGCTTATGCAGTACTTGGAAGAAGTGGCATAAGGATGGCTTCACTGAGCTCTCAATCTCTAGATCTACTGACTCAGATCCACGTCTGGCCAATTCATCCGCCGATTCATTGCCATATATGTTGCAGTGTCCAGGGACCCAACAGAGTTTGACAAACGATTTAACCTTTTCCATTCCTGCATTCCCGAACTGCCATAGATTTGAGTGTAAATGAATTTAGAGCCTTCAGGGCCGCTTGACTATCGACATTCATTGATTCTATTTGCCAGGTGCTCTATGGCCTTCATGACAGCAAAGATTTCTGCCTGAAAGTAGTTACAGTCGTTGTTTAGACTTTCACAGTAGACTCCTGCTCCCGTCCCACTTTCCACCTTTGACCCATCAGTATAGACAGCTATGCCGTTTAAAGGTGGAGTGTCGCGAGTCCAGATGTCTCTGTTAGGTATATGGATATCATTTAGTTCAAAGCTTTGCCTAGGTGATATATAATCGCTAGCTATAGCCTGATTTCCTATGCCCGCCACATACTTGAAAAGGCCGGAGTATCCAAAGGGCTGAATTCGCCATTGTCCCAGTTCATTGAGTCGCAGGGCAAACCTAGCAGCTTGTTCCTATACAAATAAACCTGACGGTTTTAAGTTGAGTAGGTTGTCTAGTGCGGATTGGGGCGTGCTTCTAAACGCGCCTGTAATTAGTAGCGATGCAACTCTTTGGACCTTATCAATGCTTTTACCGAAGGCAGTTTTTTCACCAAGCAAGCCCTCCTTAGGTTAGAATTGGTCGGACGACTGACTCATATAACTATTTGATTTTGTGAGGTTAGAGTCCCCAGCTTTTTCCTATTGAGTTTTTGCGGGAATAAAGTGCAATTAAGCCCTTCTTCGCCTTCTCCTCGATGTTCCTCTCCCAGCTTAGTTTCTGGTCTAGGACGGTACCGAGATATTTGGCTTCCGAAGAAAGGCTTAGCATAACACCATTAAGTATTGGTAGCGAAAAGTGTGGGATCCTTCCTTGTGAAGAGTACTAGCTCTGTTTTTGATGGGTTCACGGCAAATCCATTGCAGCGAGCCCATCTGGAGAGTTTAACTAGAGCTCCCTGCATAAGATCTGAAACAATTTGAGGGAATTTCCCAGCAATCGTCGACGGAAGGCACGACCTTTGTTCCAGTTCGATTAGAAAGGCATTTATCACCAAAAGCCAGAGTAGTGGTAACAGAACCCCTCCTTGCGGGGGGATGGTGGAGGGTATAAATAAAGCTGATATGGCTGAAAATAGGCGTTAAAATCTTTGAAACACCAAAAATCGCAAGGAACCTTTTCATACAGGAAATCCACCCGTAACCCGAAATATAAAATAATTTTGTTTGGATTAGAATTTCATTTGTTTGGAAATTCGGTGCCTTCACAACAAGTCTACATTTTTATCTCTCAAGCTCTACCTTAGAGTCGGGTTTTCCTTTAAAGCACCAGCTGCTATCTATAGGTGTTTTTCCCTTTGGCAGGTTAGTAATTTCCAAAGTTTTATTTTCTAATAAAGCTGCTAGTCCTTCATCCATTGCTGTTACTTGTTATACCCTCCATCATACATAGTATGAAGGGTATATTAAATTCGACATTCCGTTTGTAACTCATCGAAATAATAATTTTAGAGATAACAAAGTATATATATTCTTGATCAGGGTAAAATTATAATACGATTTAGACCTGTCCTTACAAAGAAGCTAGCCGATGACTTAAGCTAGTAAAAAAGTTGTAATTTCGGCCGAGTTTCCTCCACCATTTGCAAGGAATAAAAGAAAAAAAAAACAATAAAATCCGTTAAAAAATTATGTTAAAATCCTAAAAATGCCGAATGTAGCTGTTATTTTAGGGTCTATACGACGACATGGACCTGCATAGGTAACATTTGTCCTAAGCCATTACAATACGAAGGCATGGACCTGCAAAGGCAATTTTCTGTCAGAGGTTGTACTATCCATTACGAACTTCAAATACCAAATTTGAAACAATTCCGGTGAAGAAATTTGCTAAAATCATCAAAATACAGAATATCGGGAGGTACCGTTATATGGGGGCTATACGAAGACGTGGACCTGCACAAACAATTTTTTGTCTTAGGCTGTAGTATCCATTATGAACTTCAAATACCAAATTTAAAACAATTCCGGTGAATAATGTCGATAAAATCATTAAAATACCGAAGATCGGGAGGTACCGTTATATGGGGCCTATACGAAAACGTGGACCTACATGGCCCATACCAAAAGTCCTGCAGACATAATATACATTTAAGTAAAATTTTATCAATCTACTTCATTTCGTTCGTTAGCTAGAGTTATTTCCACAGACGTACGACATACAGTATTTTTTGCTTACCTGCACAATCAAAAATTGCACGACATCTTGTGCAGCAATGCCCAAAATGCAGGTAGCTTCATTGCATTTATCTGCACAATGAAACAGGTATCTTTAATTTTACTTACGTGCACAAAAAGTGCAGTTATCTTTAATTTTCTATTCGTGCACAAGAAAGCAGCAGCAGCATAACCATCTTTTAGTGTGGGAGAGGAAGCGAGAATATGTTTTTATTGCATGCTCTTTTCTTGTGTTGTTATTGTTTTTGCGAATACAAAAACAAGAACGAAGTGGTAGTTTTTAGTGTCTTTTTTGAGTTTGCAAAGAATTTTCTTGTGCAGATAAATACAACTTTTGTAACCAAATTGAAAAAAATTACCAAATTTTCGAGGCAGGAATGTCCAATGTGCAGCTATCGATTGGGCACTTAAATACAATTCAAATAAAGGGATTCAGAAAAAAATGGCATAAAAAAGTTTTTTGGTCTGCAAAGGCCAATGCGCAGCTAATGTTGATGCAGGTAAATATAAACCACTGTAAATGTTATGCTGATCAAGAATATATGTTACAAATGTTACAAACGGAATAACAAACTTAATATACCCTCCATATTATGGTGGAGGACATAAAAAAAAGATTTAATGTTTTCTCACCTTTAATTCAATATTTTACAAATTTAAAGAATTTACTAGAATTCTCTGTCTTTAAACTGTTGCTATTAATTCAATCCCGAATGTATTTTGTTTATTTTCAATGAGATACAGTTACATTATTACAAACATACATAGTACTATTCTCTTTCCTATCGTATATATTTACGAATTACAACAATGAACTGAGTTCTGCACGCAAATAATAGGTATCTCGAAAATTCCTCTTCACGCAAACACGAGAGACATCTTCATATCTCGTGTTGTTTATGTTGTAGGTATTTACTCTCTAGAAAATTCAAGTTCATTCAACCGCCCGGCAAACAATTTTCATATAAACGATGCAAAATATGAGTGTATGTACATGTGTATGCATTTCGACATGTAACAATGTATTTCGTATCTCAACTGCGGGTATAGGGTATGAGGAAGAATGAAAGAACTGGGTCAGTAATGCAAAGCCACAAAAGGATT